TCCGGGGCACTTGCTCCCGGTAGCCACTAGCGTTGCACCAGAGCCGTCTGTTGCCCGTGTGTCTGCAGCTTCAGTCGTCGCCTCCCATCTACTCTCCTCTCGCTAGCCCTCCTCCTCCTCACTTGCCCTCAGTGACTGCCTCTACCTTTGCTCATAATTTTATGAACTATTGCTATTGTGACTGCTTGTTGTGCTGATTACACCCCACTTTGGCTATGGGGGTGTGTCAGAATGTTATATTGTCTAGCCTGCAGTGGGGTACTCTATAGCGAGTACAGCCCAATCTAGGGTTTGCTATTTGTACTCAACTGCCTGCTAGTTCAAACCTCTCTTTCTGTTCCTAACTTCTGCCTAGCTTGTTTCGACACCCTGATACCGAAACTTCTTTACCGCGGATCAGGCCATGTTCCGCGTGGTGACGAGACGCTGTACCACACTCGCGCGAACGGGCGTTTCCAAAAAGCCCTGACAGCAAATTCGTCCTGGCACGGTAGATTCGTGCTGTCAGAGCACAGCAAATTCGCCCAATCACAGTTTTGCGCTGGCAGAGAGCAGAAAATTTGCCCAATCATAGCGGAATACCCTGACACAAGAGCAGATTCGCCTTCACACAAGAGATTCGCCCTGTCAGACCCTGTTGTGAGTGCTACTTTATTATGTTAGTATAAAAAACTTAGCTCACAAAATAGTAGCCGAAACAGGCTTAGCCTAAAACTACCCTGCTCAAATCAGGCTATAGGTTGATTTACCTTGCTGCAAACAGGGTACGAAAATTTTTACCCTAATGGTCGGGCTAAGGAGGGGCTGGAACCCTGATTTGTAAGGGTAGGCCTAAACCAATTTTGGGCCCTGGTCACGGCGAAACTTCTGCTGCCCGACGACTGGCGTATACACGATGCCTTCCACGTTAGCCTCCTCAAGCCCTTCGTACCGGCCACGACGGACATTGCCCGCCAAAGTGCAGCCCCGACAGCTCGCCCTGTCCCGGAACCGACGCTTGACCCGTCGAAGATATTGGCACATCGCGAACGCCTTGACGCAGCAGGACGCCACGTGGATTTTCTGATTCGGTGGACTGACCGCACCAGTGAGGACGACACATGGGTGCCATCCCCTTCGCTTGAAGCGCCTTCGCTACACCGTGATTACCTCGCCAGGAAGCGTGTCGCGGATGTCGACCACCTTGCTTAAGGGGGGGGTAGTGTAAGGAAAAACCCTTTTTCCTTACTGGGGTTTACTCAACCGCGTACAACCCCAACTTTCGGAAGTGCACGTTCGGCCACTTTGCTTGCTGCCGAAGCAACCTCGCGTCGCCTTCGGCTTTCCTTTGCCCAACCTGCACCCAACCTCGTGTTCCCGAGGTTCCCGCCTAGCTAGGTTATCTCCCTATATAATCGTGTGCCTCTCATTGTACTACCAGTTCATTGAGTCACAGCCTCGCTATTCGTTATTCCGCGCAATAGCCCAACAGCTTTGTGACTGCCTGGTACCTAGCAAATACCTTGTAGGCTAGGCATGATTAGTAACACTTTGTATTGTACTGGACTTGTTGTCGCCTCTGTTTTGTACCCTTGCCATTTATCACCTTTTCTTGACTCTCGACGCCCATGAGTTCATTGTGTCGTTGAGAAACACACCCGACCACTTATTTCCTTAAACATTTCCCTTAAACTCCCTGGAGGCGCATATGCAAAAACCTTCATACACCACGTACACGTCAGTCAGTCCACCTGAAGCAGCACAGGCCCACTGAATGCCTACCGCATCCCAACTGCACCCCTACTGCAGCCCTACTGCAGCCCTACTGCATTTCCCTATCTACCCCATGGTACACATCATCATCAGAGAAGGGTGGCGGCTCCAAATCACTCTCTTCCTCTGAAACCACCTCCTCCTCCACCGGTGCCACATGCTCCCGCACTAGCTGCACAGCACAGGGCAAGATCAGCAAGAGGGAGCATGAAGGGAAACAACACGAAGGCATGAAGGGGAATGAGGGAGAAGGGTGGCGGCTCCAAGTCACTCTCTTCCTCTGATACCTCCTCGTCCACTGGTGCCACATGCTCCCGCACTAGCTGCATGAGAATTCTCAAAAATCGCTCACAGGGCAAGATCAGCAAGAGGGAGCATGAAGGGAACGGGGCAGAAGGGGAAGTACGCTCAGATGGATTGACGAAGGCGGGCAGGCGGGAGGGGAGGCGAGGTGAGGGGCCAGGGCGAGATGTATGGCAGAATGCCTACAAGGTGCCATGGGAAGGCAGGCACAGTATAACACACAGCACAGCATGACACACAGCACAGCATGACACACAGCACAGCATGACACACAGCACAGCATGACACACAGCACAGCATGACACCAACTTCACGAATTGCATCGCAGCATGCACAAGAGGGGAAGGGGCAGGAGGGACGGGGTCAATCGCTCCACGCGTGGCTGGGCACATGTGTGCTCTATGTGAAGGGGATGAGGGCAGCGCAGGGGCGGGGGCGCACAGTAATTCCCATCTGCGGAACATGGCTCACAAGCCAGCTCAACAGTAACGACTGGCAACATGCCGTGAGGTGGCATGAGGTGTCCAACTCACCTGCGGGAGCTTGTGCCGTGAGGTGGAGCGGCAGAGGTGCCTGCCCCCCTTTCTCACCTCATTGCGTCTATTGAGGGGACGAGGCTGCAGAGGCGCACTGAACTGACCTGCTCTAGCTCGTCACGCACGTGGGGGTTGTCATTGAGAAACGTGATGGCGTGAGGTGCCTTCTACATCACGAGGGGCGTACTGACTGCAGGGGCGTACTGACTGCAGGGGCGTACTGACTGCAGGGGCGTACTGACTGCAGGGGCGTACTGACTGCAGGGGCGTACTGACTGCAGGGGCGTACTGACTGACCTGCTCTAGCTCGTCACAGACGTGGGGGTTATCGTTGAGAAACGTAATGGCGTTCTCCCGCCCTTGCACCCTGCCACGGGGCGCACAGGGAGCATGCAGGGCGAGGACGGGGAGCACGGGAGAGTGGGGGAAGGAGGAGGGGTGGGTACGGAGGGAAGGGCAAAAGGAAAAGGTAGAATGGGAGGTTGGAAGGGTGGGGAAGCGGGTTGGAAGTAGGTGAGGTGAGTACGTGCAGTGGCATGCGGAGGGAGAGTGAGTGTGAGTGGCAGAAAGCAGCGGTGGTGGTGGCGATAGGTAAGCATGAGAATGAACTAGTAATCGTACTATAATAAGAACCAAGGCCGCACCTCACCTCATACCCCCCTCTCATTGCATCCATTTCTCGCCTCATCTCCCCCCCTCTCACCTCATGCCCATCCTTTCTCACATCACCCCCTTGTACTCACCTCAACCACCCCCTTCTCTCACCTCAACCCCCCCCCTTTCTCAACTCCTGCCTCCAATTCTCACCTCATCCCCCCCTTGCTCACCTCATCCTCCCCTTTCTCACCTCATCCCCACCTTAATCACCTCACCTTCCCATTTTCTCACCTAATCCCCCCCTTTCTCACCTCATGCCCCCCTTTCTCACCTCATGCCCCCCTTTCTCACCTCATGCCCCCCTTTCTCACCTCATGCCCCACTTCATCTCATCCGCCTCTTCTTACCACATCTCCCACACCTCTCCCCGCATCCCCTTCCCCTTCGCCTCACCTCATTTCCTCCCCATCACCTCATCCCAACCACCCTCTTCACCCCTCCCAACCCCCACTCTACTACTCACCTCCCCCCTTTCTCTCACCGCATCTCGCCCATGTAGCACGACCCCTTCCCTTTCACCTCTTCCCTCCCCATCTCTACTCAACCCCCCCCCCCCTTCCCCCCCCTCTCCCCCCCCCCCCCCCTTTTTCACCATTGCCATATCACCCCCCTCTACTACCCCCCACCACCTCTCACCGCATCTCGCCCCTGTAGCTGTACCAGGACCCCTTCCTCTGGCCTCTACCCCCTCCGCCCTCCACTCATCTTTCCACCCCCTACTCACCTCCACTCACCTCATCTCGTGCTCCTCTCACCGCCCCCACCCTCGCCACTCACCGCATGTGGTCTCTGAAGCTGTACCACGACCCTTTCCGCTCCACCTTCTTCAGCTCCTCCGCACAGTCCAGCACACACCCCTGCTCCACGCACGCAGGGGGGCAGAGGGGAGGAGGTGCACAGAGGGCAGAGGGGGGGCAGAGGTGGGGACAGGGAGAAGAGCGGGCAGACGAGGCAGAGGGGGGAAGAGCATGAGTCATATGCATGGCAGCATACACATCGCTTCGTAGAAAGCTAAATAGTAAACAAAAACAAGAACAGAAAAAAAAAAAAAAAAAAAAAAAAAAAAAAAAAAAAAAAAACCAACAGGAAACTGAAGCACAGTAAAGACGGAGGAGTGCAGAACGAGGGTGATTAGCTGCACGGTTGAGAGGGGTAAGAGGGGTGCATGGTGGTGTAAGGTTCTGACGACTAAGACAGAGAGGTGAGGATTTAGAAGGGGGACTTCACACAGATACGGGCTTAATGTTAGAATCTATCTTCTTGTGTAACCTGCATAGATGTTATAGGTTAGGCTAGAGTTAAGCACCCAAACTCAGTTTGGGTGTACAAACAAGGGTCACCCAGTTTGTAGGTTGGAAACCCAACCTTGGTCCAATTATTGGACCCCAAAGGTTGGGTTGGGTAGAATTATTGGTTCACTCCAATAATGTTGGCCCAACTCCAACTTGGCCAACATTATTGGACCCCACCAATAATCCCCCAACCCAACTTCTTGGTTGGGGTCCAATAATGCTCACCTAGGCTAGGATCCAACCCACTCCCTATGTAAACCCCCAATCTCCTCAATTCAATCATCAACTTCTCTTCAAACTATTGTTCTCACACTTAAGGTTGGCTTCGCGGTTCACACATACCGTGGTGTGACAGAAAGACCAGATGGGAAGGGGAAGGGCACATAAGGCCCCTGAAAGGCAACGCGAGTAGAGAGGGCGGGAGCGAAGGAGAGCGTGGGGGTGGGTTGAGCGAGGTTACCGCGTGGGAGATGCCGGTGCCAAAGAGCAGGTCAAACTCCACTGTGCGCAGCGGTGGACTCACCTGCCAGCCACAGCGCGCAGCACGGGGGAATGGGGGAGGGCAGCAAGGGGGCATGGCATGGGGGAGGGCAGCACGGGGGAAGCGGGACGAGCAGCAAGGGGGCAGCGGGGGTGACAGGGGCGAGGAGAGGCGGGGAAGCAGTGAGGGTGCGTGCATCAAAAAAGTTTGACACATTGAGTGGATGGGAATGGTGTATGCTCTGCCCTCTACTGCTGGCTGCTGGCTGCTGGCTGCTGGCTGCTGGCTGCTGGCTGCTGGCTGCTGGCTGCTGGCTGCTGGCTGCTGGCTGCTGGCTTGGCTTGGCTTGGCTTGGCTTGGCTTGGCTTGGCTTGGCTTGGCTTGGCTTGGCTTGGCTTGGCTTGGCTTGGCTTGGCTTGGCTTGGCTTGGCTTGGCTTGGCTTGGCTTGGCTTGGCTTGGCTTGGCTTGGCTTGGCTTGGCTTGGCTTGGCTTGGCTTGGCTTGGCTTGGCTTGGCTTGGCTTGGCTTGGCTTGGCTTGGCTTGGCTTGGCTTGGCTTGGCTTGGCTTGGCTTGGCTTGGCTTGGCTTGGCTTGGCTTGGCTTGGCTTGGCTTGGCTTGGCTTGGCTTGGCTTGGCTTGGCTTGGCTTGGCTTGGCTTGGTTTGGCTTGGTTTGGCCTGGCTTGGCCTGGCCTGGCCTGGCCTGGCCTGGCCTGGCCTGGCCTGGCCTGGCCTGGCCTGGCCTGGCCTGGCCTGGCTTGGCTTGGCTTGGCTTGGCTTGGCTTGGCTTGGCTTGGCCTGGCCTGGCCTGGCCTGGCCTGGCCTGGCCTGGCCTGGCCTGGATTGGCTTGGCTTGGCTTGGCTTGGCCTGGCTTGGCCTGGCTTGGCCTGGCCTGGCTTGGCTTGGCTTGGCCTGGCCTGGCCTGGCCTCGCCTGGCCTGGCCTGGCCTGGCCTGGCTTGGCTTGGCTTGGCTTGGCTTGGCTTGGCTTGGCTTGGCTTGGCTTGGCTTGGCCTGGCCTGGCCTGGCCTGGCTTGGCTTGGCTTGGCTTGGCTTGGCTTGGCTTGGCTTGGCTTGGCTTGGCTTGGCTTGGCTTGGCTTGGCTTGGCTTGGCCTGGCTTGGCTTGGCCTGGCCTGGCTTGGCTTGGCCTGGCCTGGCCTGGCTTTGCTTCCCCAAGAAGCTCTCCCTGCTTCGCTCCCTGCTGCCTCATTAACACACTCAACAGCTCCTGTCGCCCCACGTGCCTGCCTGCCTGCCTGCCTGCCTGCCACTCCGCTCCGCCACCATTCTCGTGCCCCGTCAAGCACACTCCCTCCTCCTCCGCGTGCTCAAGCCTGATTGGCCCCCCAGGAGCAGTGGCGGTGGAATGAAATTCACGGTATAGCCGCATATCCTCTTCTCTCCCCCTCCCCCCACCCCTTCCCCCTTCCTTCGTTCGTGAGAGAGGGCGAGAAAGGTGCTACAAGGGAAGGAAGGGATGAATATGCTGAGACATTGACTCAAGAAACACATCAGAAGGAGGAAGAGGTGGCAAGAAGCTTCCTCTGTGTGTTTTTCGACATGCGAGGCAGCACGCGGTGCAGAGAGATGTAGAGAGATGCAGAGAGATGTAGAGAGATGCTGCATGGGCGCATCACAACACACGGGGCGCACAGGCGGTGCGTGGGTTGAGGGCGTGTGAGCGGGCTTGCCTTGCTCTTGGCCACCTTGCAACGCACGCGAATACCTACATCTGACTCGTCCTTGGCCTGCCATGGGGACACAACAATGCAGTGAGAGCAGTGAGAGAATGGGTATGGGGTGGGGAACGCACAGGGGCACAGGAATGAGCAGAGGGCGTTTGGAGGGAAGAGAACGATGCAGACGGGGTTGACTTGATAGCTCTCAAACGTGAACAGGACGCCATGCAGAGCAGAGCACCATGTGTGCAGGGTGGTGCAACAAGGGCCGCACTCACCAATCGCCACATGATCCTTGCACTTTTGGATCTGATTCGCTGCACTCATGGATCTCATTCGCTGCACTCATGGATCTGATTCGCTGCACTCATGGATCTGATTCGCTGGATCTGATTCGCTGCACTCATGGATCTGATTCGCTGGATCTGATTCGCTGCACTCATGGATCTGATTCGCTGCACTCATGGATCTGATTCGCTGCACTCATGAATCTGATTCGCTGCACTCATGGATCTGATTCGCTGCACTCATGGATCTGATTCGCTGCACACACACATGACACGACGTGATTGGCTGCACTCACGGATTTGATCTTGCCAACGCTGCGCAGGTCAAGGCGCACAGAGGCATAGTATCGTAGGGCCGTGCCCCCCGTGGTGGTCTCGGGACTGCCAAAGGCAAAGCCCCCCGTGTTGATCTGCACGCACGTCACACCAACACGCCAGCACGGCAGCACGCGTGGATGATGGGAGGTGGGAGGGGAGAGAAGGGAGAAAGAGGTGAAAGGGAGGATTCGACGAGGGGGGTGTGGGAAAGGAGGAGGGAGGGGTAGGGGAAGGGAGGCGGGGGGAGAATTAGTGACATGGCTGTGTGTGTGCAGGTTGTGATGTCGCAGTGTGGATAGTGATGGAGATGGGCGGGGGCAGGGGCGCATAAGGTAACACTTGGTTCATTTCGTGCCTGAAGGCAGGTGAGTGACATGGTGGCATGGTGGCATGGTGGCATGGTGGCATGGTGGCATGGTGGCATGGTGGCATGGTGGCATGGTGGCATGGTGGCATGGTGGCATGGTGGCATGGTGGCATGGTGGCATGGTGGCATGGTGGCATGGTGGCATGGTGGCATGGACATGGTGGCATGGTGGTGCCACGGTGCCACGGTGCCACGGTGCCACGGTGCCACGGTGCCACGGTGCCACGGTGCCACGGTGCCACGGTGCCACGGTGCCACGGTGCCACGGTGCCACGGTGCCACGGTGCCACGGTGCCACGGTGCCACGGTGCCACGGTGCCACGGTGCCACGGTGCCACGGTGCCACGGTGCCACGGTGCCACGGTGCCACGGTGCCACGGTGCCACGGTGCCACGGTGCCACGGTGCCACGGTGCCACGGTGCCACGGTGCCACGGTGCCACGGTGCCACGGTGCCACGGTGCCACGGTGCCACGGTGCCACGGTGCCACGGTGCCACGGTGCCACGGTGCCACGGTGCCACGGTGCCACGGTGCCACGGTGCCACGGTGCCACGGTGCCACGGTGCCACGGTGCCACGGTGCCACGGTGCCACGGTGCCACGGTGCCACGGTGCCACGGTGCCACGGTGCCACGGTGCCACGGTGCCACGGTGCCACGGTGCCACGGTGCCACGGTGCCACGGTGCCACGGTGCCACGGTGGCATGGTGGCATGGTGGCATGGTGGCATGGTGGCATGGTGGCATGGTGGCATGGTGGCATGGTGGCATGGTGGCATGGTGGCATGGTGGCATGGTGGCATGGTGGCATGGTGGCATGGTGGCATGGTGGCATGGTGGCATGGTGGCATGGTGGCATGGTGGCATGGTGGCATGGTGGCATGGTGGCATGGTGGCATGGTGGCATGGTGGCAGGGATGACGGAGTGCATGTGCGAGTGCGCATGGAGACAGGAACAGCCAAGTGAAGACAGACAGCTCATCCGTACTCTCAGCTTCTGTGCCTTCGCCATCTCTCCCTCCACCCCTTCTCCCCCCTCCCTTCCCCACGATTCCCCACCTTCTGGCGCATCTGGTTGAGGAAGATGAGTCATGACAACTTGGACCGGCTGGCACTGGCGCTCAGCTTATGCGCCTTCACCACACATCCCCCCCCCCTCCCAGCCCAATTCCCCCCCTTTTCCCCCTCTCTCCCTGTAATCCCCCCTCCCACCTTCTCCCCCACCGCCCCACCTTCTGGCGCATCTGGTTGAGGAAGATGACAGTGCAGTTGGAGCGGCTGGCACTGGCGCTGAGCTTCTTGAGCACCTTGGACATGAGGCGCGCCAGTAGCCCTATCGACTCCTGCCCCATCTCGCTCTGGTGGTGCCATGGTGGTGCCGGGCGTGCATAGATGGGGAGGGGAGGGGCGTATGGGTGGCATGGTGGTGGGCATGGGTATGGCACGGGTGACCGTCGGAGAGGGGATGAGCAAAGATCTTGCAAAGGGAAAGTGAGAGATGGGGTGACGAAGTGAAGGCAAACCCACGCGCGAGAGCGTGGAGCGAGGAAACGAATGCACGTGTGCGGTGAAGGATAGACCCACACACGCACACATATGCACGTGCAAAAGCATGCAAAGAAGAAAGGAAAGACGCGGGGCTGGGTGTGTGCGGGCTGGGTGTGTGCGGGCTGGGTGTGTGCGGAGGCAGCAGGAGAGGGGAGGCACCTCGAGCTCCTGCGAGGGGATGAGCGCAGGCACTGAGTCAACGACCACTATGTCCGCTGCCAGGCCCCTCATTGCCGTGTCCACAACTGGTGGCAGGGGGGGAAGACGAAGAAGGGGGAGGGACGTTCACACACACATGGACGAATGTGAAGAATTTAGGGAACGAGGGAATGAGGGAGAGCACGGCGCAGGCACTGAGCCCATTACCACTATGTCCGCTGCCATGCCCCTCATCGCCGTGTCCACAACTGGTGGCATGGGGCGGGGAGAGCGGGGAGGTGGGGGGAGTGGGAAGGGAGAGGGACGCGCACACACACAAGCATGCAGGAATGCGAAGATTGAGGGAGTGAGGGGATGAGCGCGGGCACTGGTCCACAACCACTATGTCCGCTGCCAGTCCCCTCATCGCCGTGTCCACAACTGGTGGCGCGGGCAGGGAGATGAAGAAGGGGACGGGGAAAGACGGGGGAAGGGGGAAGAAGAGGGTTTGGGAGGGGAGGTGGGAAGGGAGGGGAGGGAAGGGAGGGAGGAGTAGGGGAAGGGTTGGACACGCCCCTGTTCATGCCCACTCAACCTCTTCCTCCCCCTTTCCCCTCCCCTCCCCTCTCCCCGCCACACGGCCCCACTCCCCATGCGCCTTCCCTCCCTACCCTGAGTCCTCCCCTGCCCTCCCTCCCTCTTCCCTGCACGCACTTTCGAGTGCCTTGTTGGCCTCCTCGGCCTGGCACAGCACGAGCTTGTCCGTGTGCACGCCCAGCTGTTGAGTTGACGCAAAATACAAACCCCCCCACACGGCCCCACTCCCCATACCCCCTCCCTGCCCTCCTCTGCCACCGTCCCTCTCCCCTGCACGCACTCTCGAGCGCCTTGTCGGCCTCCTCGGCCTGGCAGAGAATGAGCTTGTCCGTGTGCACGCCCAGCTGCCGCGCGTACTTGAGGTCCAGTGCATGCTCCGCGTCCACCACCCACGCTATGCCGCCGCGCTTCTGCTCCGTGCGCGTTGTTCGGGGAAAGGGGGGAGGAAAGGGTGAGCGAGTGGGAAGAGTTTGAGGGGTCAAGAGCACGCTTTGGTTCTCTACGCCCAGCTGCCGCGCGTGCTTGAGGTCCAACGCGTGCTCCGCGCCCACCACCCATGCCATGCGCCGCGGGTTGGGAGGAGAGGGGAGGGAAGGGGGGAGGGACGCAGGGAGGAGGTAAGGCTTGTGAGTGTGCAGGTTCAGCTAGCCGGCACGCATGCTTGAGGCCCAGTGCATGCTCTGCGCCCTCCACCCATGCTATGCCGCCGCGCTTCTGCTCCTGCCAGGTGTGGTTGTGCAGGTGGGGAGCGGTGTGCAAGTGCGTAGGGATGAGAGGGGGGACATGGGAAATAGGGAGGTGAGGAGGCGATGGGGGAGGAGATTGAAGGGGGAGAGGGAGGGAGGCAGGAAGAGGTGACGCTTGGCCGGGGAATGGTACACTGGAGATGACCGGCCGGGGGAAAGTACGAGGTTGACAGATGAAACGTGAGGATAAACACAAAAGGGAGGATGGGAGGGGGGGATGTGAGGGGGGGGATGTGAGGGGGGGGATGGGAGGGGGGGGATGTGAGGGGGGGGGGGGATGGGGGGGGGGATGGGAGGGGGGGGATGGACGAGGATGGGGGAGAGAAGCATTGAAAGGTTCACAGTAAGGTAAGGGCATTGGAGGCGAGGAAGCGAGTGGAGGAGCGGAGCGGAGCGGAGAGAAGAGGAGAAGGGAGGTGAGGAGGGCACCTGCACTTGAGCGATGGCGTGCAGGGCGAGGGTGGTCTTGCCACTGCTCTCCTGCCCGTAGATCTGCTCACATGCCAGCACGGCATCACAGCGACACAGCAGCACAGCGGCAACAGACGAGGGGGCGAACGGGATGGTGGAGTGTGGTGGGGGCGGGAGGACGGGAAGAAAGAGTGAGGGATGGCAAGGGGGGAGGAAGCGAGTACGCAAGAAGCAGTGCCACACGTGGCTTGATTGACACACAGCTGCGCTATGGAAAACAATGAAGCAGCAGCACGGTGAGCAAACTATGACAAAACCACCTCCATCACTGTCTGTGTCGCTCAAGTTTCTCAAAAGGACCACCTCCGTTATTGCCGATCTGACCCCTCCCCCTCACCCCCCTCACCCCCCTCCGCCCCTCACCCCCCACCCACCTCACCTCCACTATCCTTCCCTTGGGCAGCCCTCCTCCCAAAGCAATGTCTAGTGTAAGCGCGCCAGTCGGAAAGGTTTCTCTGCAGGGCGGGGTGAGGCGGGTAGGGAGAGGCGGGCGGGGTGAGGCGGGGCCAATGATGAGTGGCGAGCATGGTGCGTGTGCATGCAGCAGCTTACTCCTCCAACGGCCCAGTGCGCTCTCAAAGATAGTCGAGGATGCGTGCGTGCGTGCGTGCGTGCGTGCGTGCGTGCGTGCGTGCGTGCGTGCGTGCGTGCGTGCGTGACACTGAGGAGAGCGGGAAGAGGAAGAGCAGAAGGGGGCAAGGCAGGGAGGGTAAGGGCAGAGCGGGGGGTGGGAGGCGAAGACGGTGGGGCAGGAGGAAGGAGGGAAGCGTGGAAGAACAAGCTACGAGACAGCCAAACAGAGTCAGGGCTGCGGAACAAGGCCAGCAGGAGGGGCGAGGGGGGAGGAGGGGGTGGGATGGGAGAGGGGGATGGGGAAGGGGGAAGGGGGAGGGGGAGGGAGGAAGGGGGAGGGGGGAAGGGGGAGGGGCTTGGGCGCACGCGTTGGCTCGTTTGACGTCGTCGTTGAGGAAGGTGGCGGTGTTGGCGCCGTACTTGCCGTTTATCACCTCCATCGCCTCGCGCACCCTCGCCTCCTGCCACACAGGGGGGCGCATGCACACGGGGGGGCGCATGCACACGGGGGGGCGCATGCACACGGGGGGGCGCATGCACACGGGGAGTGTACAAAAAACGCACGCACACGGGAGAGGGCACACGCACACGGGAGAGGGCACACGTTAACGCAAATGCACGGGGTTTACGGGGGCGGCGGGGAGACGGAGTGAGGGACGGATACGTTGAGCAAGCGGCAGCCACGCGGCGCGCGCACGATGCGCGGGGTAGCTGATTCCGAGGATTCTCAAAGGCATGATGCGCTGGACTCTTCGCCGTGGCGTGCGGAATGAACGCGTGTTTTCTACACGACTCAAAACCACGCGCGGAATGCACGCGACCGTGGGATGGTGATGGCGATGGGGGGAGAATAATCGACTGAATGGCATGATCCGGCCAGGACGAGCAGAAGGGGAGGAACGCGCGAAGTTGCAACGCGTAGTGGCGGCAATGGCACACACGCGGGAACTTGCCCCCGTAAAGGCACCTCTGCGCGCACTGGCGCGCGGATCAAAGCGCCCACTGGCGGGAAAGGGAAACGAGCGTGCGGAGCAGCGTTGAAGCGGGGCAGCGGTCGAATGTGGGAATTGGGGAAGCGCGGAAGTGAGGAAGTGCGGAGGCCCGCACACACCTTGTCCACCTCCAGCTCGCCGCCCGCGCCCGGCATGATCTTCCCGCGCTTCTTCGTCGCCATCGCGCGCACCCCCGCGAGCCCCCCCCGCGCGCGCAAGCTTCTCGCGGGCATGGGCGGTGTTGGCGCGCAGAGGGTGCTGCGCGAGGAGAGGAAAGGGGAGGAGAGGGCAGGGACTTGCGCTGTGGATGCGCGCGGCGGCTGTGCGGTGGCGATCGGTTGAGGTGGATGCAGCGCGGTAGTCACGGCGGACGAAAGGGAGGCCGCCATTGTGCGCGAAATATTCGATCCGAGAAAGCCTGGACGCGCTGCTGATATGAGCAGCGAGGAGGCACGGGGCACGGAGGAGGACGAAGTATAAGAGAGAAGTGGAGTGGAGGCAGCGGCTGATCAGGTTTATATGAGTGGAATCGAAAGACTCCTGAATCTGGAATCTGGATTGCAGCCGCAAAAACGCCAGAGACAAGAAAGCTTCAGTTTGACCTCGTGCTAGATATTTCGATTCGGATCGGAGAAACTGTTTGTCCCCCTCTCGCCCCGAGCCCAGGCTCAGCTGGCGCGCAGAGCCGTGTTGCGCAAGATTCGTCAAAGAGTAGTTTTCGGGCATCTCGGTCAGAACGCAAAAAAACTGGCATGAAAGAGCTGGGGCTTGACGCTGACGCTAGACGGCTTCGCCATAGTGAAATTGAGTTTTGCCTACAGCAGTGCATAAACACATGAATTCATCTGCAGTTGTTAGTTGTGGTAGCATGCCGTTGTACGAAACAACTTTCATTTGTATCATGTTCCTATATCCTTCAGCAGCTGGACTACATACAATCACTCGCTAAGATTTATTTCTGCTGAGATTGTTACAAGGTACGTACGGAGTCACAGTAATGTTGTGCTTGTGCTGTGGAAGCTTTGGGCCTGGTGCCCTTGATCGCATTAGTGACATATCACTCTTGTAATCATTGTCAGTGTTCGGTAAACGACCTTGCAATGGGTAAAAAAATGGAAACGGCTCATGCGGAAAAAAAATAGGTATGGTAAAAAATTATCCATAAGCCTTATTTTCCTTATTTTCCTTTTAAATAAAGTTATTTTCCTTTCGTACATAAGCCTTTGCTATGACATATCCACCAGTCTGCACTGTACAAATCGCATCAAAACAAACCTGTCATATCGACATGGTTTCACCCTGGCTTGCGTCTGTTTGCTTGTCTAGCAGAAGCGTAGTTTCTGGTTCTTCTTGACCCAGCAGTGTTCCATCCCCAGCCACGGGAGGCTCCTCAGCAGGTGCGTGGTGATGGGTGCCGCTGGGCTCCTGGGCCTTGGCTCCCCACACCACCAGGTAGAGGCCGGATAAGACGAGGATACCTCCGATGACACTGCAACCAATGGCAAACCAGCAAGCACCCCCCAAAGAAGCAAATAAATAAGTGTTGCGAGTAGAGTAAGAGGCAACCGTTCAAGGCGAACAGCCATCGATCAGGCGCTTAAGAGCTGGGTATTACCATATACCACGGTCTGTAAGACCCACACAGCTAAAACAGCCAGCTGCAGCTTATGCGGGCCCGCATAAGTTGCCCCAAACAAGCTTTTACAAGTGCATTGCTACACCTGTAAAGTGCACGCATTAGAGCCCCAACATCATGTGCCGCAAGAAATTCATGGGGTTGGTTTCGAGAATGGCATGAGGGCGCAACAGCATCCCAACAAAGTCACAGGGGTAACGAACGCACAGCCTCACACCAGCGTCACATCCGCGTGGGCCGAAAACCCCTTGGGATGTGGCAACAAAAGCGCTGAAGAAAACATCAGGCCAAACAACAAGTAATGATCGAAAAGGACTGGATGCGATCTTAGAAACACGGTTCCGTTGTTGTACCTTGACGTTTTTCCGTTACTGTGGGGCAGTGTCACAGAGAGGGCAGCAGCTGGAAAGCATCCATCCGCTCATTTTTTCCGCTGAGAGAGAGAGAGAGAGAGAGAGAGAGAGAGAGAGAGAGAGAGAGAGAGAGAGAGAGAGAGAGAGAGAGAGAGAGAGAGAGAGAGAGAGAGAGAGAGAGAGAGAGAGAGGCGCTGTGCAAGAAAAGCCCCACGGCTTGTGCAATCAATTTTGGCAAGCTTCTGACCGTGTGCGGTTGTTACGGAGCTAAAACAAGCACAGAGCCACTTGTCACCTGGACTTTTATTGCAGCGGTCCCCATGCCAACAGAACCAGGGGTAGGACAACCAAGGGAAGGTAAGTGCGCTGCGCACCTAGAACTCACATTGCCTCAGCACGATATTGCAGTGGTCTCGTGCGGCTCATCCTGCTGTGCTGCATTGCAGTGGCACATTCAACATGGGAGATTGCGGCGTGCCTGTGTTTGTGCTTGCCAACCATGAGGCATGAAGGCACACGCACGCAAAGGAGGCGGTCCAATTGTTGAGGCGCCTCACAACACACCTTGTTTTGAGGCGCATAGAGCTCCAAGATTCAAGCGATTCTTAAGAGCCACCTGAGGAAGGGCGTGGGTGGGTGGGTGGCTGACCTGCCGAGGAAGATGGGCGAGGCGAGGCAGAGGTAGGAGAGCGTGGCGCTGGCGACGGGCTGCAGCGGGTTGTAGAGCGCCACTGTGGCCGGCCCCACGCGCCTGTTGGCCGCTGTCATCAGCGCGTAGTTGAGCGCTGATGTCACCACGCCCTGCCGGAGCCAAGGGGGATAGGTGAGTGGGGAAGCGGGGAGTGAGAGGTGAGAGGGTGGGGAAGGGTGGGATTGTAGAGCGTGACTGTGGCCGGCCCCACCTGCCTGTTGCCCGCTGTCATCAACGCGTAGTTCAGTGCTGACGTCGCCATGCCCTGCGGGAGGGAAGGAGGTGTGGGGTGAGGAAGTTTGAGGGAGTGCAAGCTGGTGACGGTGTTGTGAGGCCTTGGTAAACCCAGGTCTTCCCTCCAAGTCCTCCAAATTCGCCCCTGGAGGCATCTCTGCCTTCCTGCACTCGCCTCCCTCTACTGCACTGTACTCCACTCCACTCCACTCCACCCCACACAACTTCGTGGGACCACACGGTTCACAGCAGAAAGAAAGAAAGAAGGAAAGAAGGCTGTCTCTTGCGCAAAAAGAGCAGAAAATCACACCATGTGGGTGGGATGCGGTCAGGCCCACCACCAGCATGCACGGCCCACCCGTCGCTTCATGCCGCAGAGCTGATACAGACACCACCCACCATAACATGCCCCCCTGTCACAGTCCGGTACAGCCCGCTGCAGTCCGTCGCCAGCGATGAGCACCGTGAGCAGCGCGGTACGAGATAGCACTCTCAGCCCAGCATAAAACCCACCTCCACCTACCCCCCACACTTCATTCCCCACTCTACCCCCCTCCTCCCCACCCTTCCCTTTCCCCCTCCGTTCCCCATCCCACCCTCTATCCCTCTCTCCATCCCCCCATCTCCCCTCTCTCCCCATATCCTCTCCACATCCCCTGCCTCTTCATTCCCCCCCCCCCCGCGTTCCCTCTCCCCTCCCGGTCCCGGCGCACCGCAAAGACAGCTGCGACGAGGGGCCAGGCGGTGATGGCCCAGGAGGGCGGCGAGGAGAGCAGCGCGATGAGCAGCATGAGCAGCGCGCCCACCACGTACGCCATGGCCGTCACTGTCACTGGCGCCGGGAAGCGCCGCAGCACCGGCACCTGGGCGCACAGGGGGGGAAAGGAGGGGATGGGGGTTGTGGGGAAAGGGGGGGTTGGGGTGAAAAGGGGGTGGGGAGTGGAGAGAGGAGGAGGGAGAGGGTGAAAGCGAGGAAGGAAGTGGAGAGGGAGACAGTGGTGATGCGCAGTGGGAGCACGGACTGGGCGAGGGAGCAGCAACGCACATGGCATACGTGCACGGGGAAGAGGGGACAGGCGGTGCTCAACTCATACGAAAAGCCCCTGACATATGATATGAGAGGGCGGGCGAAGAGGGGGGAATTGAGTGGGGAAGGGGGTAGAAGTGGGGGAAAAGGGGGGTATGTATGGAGAGCAGGAGTGTGAGAGCAGAACTTCCGCACTGGTAGTGAGAGGAGAGCGGAGAGGGAATCGTGTGAGTGCATGTTCACGACTGCCATACCATGGACGTGGCCTCACCTCACCTCACCTCACCTCACCTCACCTCACCTCACCTCTCCTGTCCTAACCTGCACTGCCCTGGGCTGACCTGGATGGTGAGATAGGCCGCCATGCTCATGCAGTTGCCCACCAGCGACACCACCCCCATGCTCCACGCTCCCACCGACCCTGCCGCCACCCACTCTCCCCCTCCCCCTCCCACTCCTCCTCCATCACCACCATCACCAGCCCCATCAACAGCAGGCGGCAGTGCGGCCTGGTAGTGCAGCAGCGCAGTGTCCCCGTGCTGCTGCTCGCCCTCCCCCAGCAGCAGCGGGCCGCGGAAGACTGCCATAAGCACTGCACCGCCCACGCACAGGGCGAGGCCCACCAGACGCACCTGATCTCGCCACTGCTGCAGGTTCAGAGAGTCCAGGCTACAGGGCATGGCATGGGATGGCATGGCATGGGATGGGGTGGGATGGCATGGGATGGCATGGGATGGGATGGGATGGGATGGGATGGGATGGGATGGGATGGGATGGGATGGGATAGGATGGGATGGGATGGGATGGGATGGGATCGGATGGGATCGGATGGGATGGGATGGTATGGCACGGGATGGGATGGCATGGCACGGCAGGTCACGACAGGGCATGGCACGGCACAGGGTGCAAGTCTGCTTTTTGGGAGTTGTGAAGAAATGTCAGCAACAACCTTCGTGAGTGCTGCAGGCTGCACCGCACAGCATTGGTTGCAGCCTTGCATCGGGAGGGGGGAGGGCATATGTGAGAGGGGCAGAGAGACTTGGGTTGGGAGAAAGAGGAAGGAGGGAGGAGGAAGGACGGAGGGAGGAGGGGAAGGGGAATGGGAAGGGGATGGAAATGGGCAAGGTCGAAGGGGGAAGGGGGAAAGGAAGAGGGGGAAAGGGGAAGGTGGAAAGCGGACCGAACGAGCATGGAAACGGATATGAGATGGCGTGGCAGGTAATACAGGTGAGCGAGATGGATGGAGGGTATGCAGGAGAGGATGGGGTCAGCAAGGTAAGGGCGCTAGAGCAGAGGACGATGCACATCAGTACTGCAGAATGCATCGCACATTGGTACAGCACGAGGGCAGCAGCAAGGAGCGTAAACGACGTTTTGGCATGACAACATGACTGGCCATGGGAGGGGAAGGCAGGCTGGGATTGGGGCGGGGAGTGGGGACTTGGGAGTGGGGTAAAGGCGAGGAGGACGGGAAACCATGGCAGCGTGGGCGGGAGGCAGTGGGGCAGGGTGGAGGAGAGTGTTACCCGAGGAGCAGCGCGAGGAGGAGTGTGAAGACGGGGATGGAGGGCTGTAGCGCCGCTGCTGTGGTAGGGCCCGTGAGGTTGAGGCCCAGCAGGAACAACAGCTGGTTGCCCAGAATGCTGGGGGGGGAAGGGGAAGGATAGGGTGCAGAGAGCGAGGAGATTGGGGGAAGGAAGGTGTGCATGAGCGTGGTGTACAATGTCAAACGGACGAACCCCGTTTTGAGGCGCCTTAAAAGTCGCCCTGGTTGAGGCGCCTCAAGAGATTGGGGAAGGAAGGTGTGCATGAGTGCGGTATACAATGTCACACGGAGCCCATGAGGTTCAGCCCTAGCAGCAACAACAGCTGGTTGCCCAGGATGCTGGGGTGGGGGCGGGGAGTGGAGGGAAAGGATAGAGTGAGAGAGGGAGGAGATTGGAAAAGGAAGGTGTGCATGAGCGTGGTGTACAATGTCTAACGGACCCCTTGAGGTTGAGCCCCAGCAGGAAGAGCAGGTGGTTGCCCAGGATGCTGAGGGGGGGAGGGGAAGGAGGCAGAAGAGGAGGATAGGGTGCAGAGAGGTGATGTATGAGCAGAGAGCGAGGGGGACGCGGGAAGGAAGGGTTGCATGTACGTGGGCCATGAGCGGGGTGGGTGCACCAGGAGGAATGGGTGGGGTAACGAGGTGTGCATGTGCATGGCATGTTGCAAGGTGTAGGGCTGTGCTTGCACTCTTGCATGGGACACATGGCGGGGTGCACACTGGAAGGAGAGTCAGAGTCACATGCGCACGACTTATTGCGACAACGACGGAAAGCAGGCAGGGGGGCAGGGGTGATGGCAAGATAGGAGCACACGGGTAACGGGGTGAGAGAAGGGGAATGACGGGGAGCGCTTACCCTGTGAGGCCGAGCAGGAAGAAGGGGAGCAGCAGCTTGGGTGACATGAGATGGTGCTGAGACCTGCACGGCCGTGCAAGCAGAGCAGAGCAGAGCAGCGCAGCAGAGGCAGGGCAGGGCAGGGCAGGGCAGGGCAGGGCAGGGCAGGGCAGGGCAGAGCAGGGTAGGGTAGAGCAGGGTAGGGCAGAGCAGGGTACGCAGGGGTGAGGTGAGATCGATTGAATAAGGCACACATGGCAAAGGGCCATTCATGGTTCAGGTCACTCATTGGTTCAGGTCACTCATTGGTTCAGGTCACTCATTGGTTCAGGTCACTCATTGGTTCAGGTCACTCATTGGTTCAGGTCACTCATTGGTTCAGGTCACTCATTGGTTCAGGTCACTCATTGGTTCAGGTCACTCATTGGTTCAGGTCACTCATTGGTTCAGGTCACTCATTGGTTCAGGTCACTCATTGGTTCAGGTCACTCATTGGTTCAGGTCACTCATTGGTTCAGGTCACTCATTGGTTCAGGTCACTCATTGGTTCAGGTCACTCATTGGTTCAGGTCACTCATTGGTTCAGGTCACTCATTGGTTCAGGTCACTCATTGGTTCAGGTCACTCATGGTTCAGGTCAGCTCTTTTCAGATGGACCTTGCATTGCTAGAGGCAGCAGTATACAGACATGCAGGTAAGTACCTTTGTAACCATACAGTGATTCCAATCAAGGACAGAAACTAAAACATCCTACACGCTTACTCCCCTCCTTTCCTGCGTGGCGCTACCAAGCGCCCTGCTCGCACTGCCAGCACCTGCTACTCTCCTCGCCCCCATCACCAAGCCGTTCCTTTCAGCGACAGGTAGAAAGCAGAGAGAGAACGCGAGCACGCACGCAACTCAACCATACCAAGCCCCTCACCCATATCCATCCCATCCCAGGCCCCTCTCGCCCGTCATCCAGCAGTGAGCAGCAGCGAAAGCCCACAGTGACGCACACACACACCCTAGCAGCCTGGTTCACACCCACTGCCTCCCCGGCCCTGCCTGCACACCCTTCCCCCCACCACTGCCACTGGCACTTTTCAGACGTAGCACCCAGCTCGCCACAGCCACAGCGGCAGCCTCACCTCACCCCACCTCCCCTCACCCCACCTCCCCTCACCCCACCTCCCCTCACCCCACCTCCCCTCACCCCACCTCCCCTCACCCCACCTCCCCTCACCCCACCTCCCCTCACCCCACCTCCCCTCACCCCACCTCCCCTCACCACCTCACCTCCCCTCACCTCACCTCCCCTCACCACCTCCCCTCACCACCTCACCTCACCTCGCCTCGCCTCACCTCTCGGCGAGGGCAGCAGCGGGCAGCAGGGCGAGCAGAGCGATGGCGTCACGGTATACACAGAAGACGAGCGCATGCACGCCCTCTGATAGCGCCCTCTTTGCCAGCACGTGATACACGCCATTGTTCACCTTGTGGGGGGTTGGGGCGAGGGGGTGGAGGAGGGGGTATAGGGGTGTCTTGTGCGTTGACTGGAGAGACACATCCTCTGCTAGCGCCCTCTTTGCCAGCACGTGGTACACAAAGTTGTTCACCTGGCATGGGGAGAGAGTGGGGAGAGGGGAGAGGGGGGAGAGGGGAGACGAGGAGGGGTATAGGGGTGTCTTGTGAGTCGACTCCAACCAAGTCACATCCTCTGCTAGCGCCCTCATAGCCAAGACGTGGTACACGCCGTTGTTCACCTTGCATTGGGGGGAGGAGGGAGAGGGGAGAGGGGAAGGGGTGGCTTGTGAAGTGAGTCGACTCCAACCAAGGCACTCCCTCTGCTAGTGCTCTCTCTTTGCCAACACGTGGTGCACGCCGTTGTTCACCTCGTGAGGGGATTGGGGCGAGGGGGTGGAGGAGGGGATATAGGGGTGTCTTGTGAGTCGACGGAAAGTCACATCCTCTGCTAGCGCCCTCTTTGCCAGCACGTGTTACACCCCGTTGTTCACCTCGCATGGGGAGGGAGTGGGGAGGCGAGAGAGAGGAGACGGGGGATGGGAGAGAGGAGAGGGGGGAGGGAAAAGGGAAGAGGGGAGAGGGGGGAGGGAAAAGGGAAGAGGGGAGAGGGGAGAGGGAAAAGGGAAGAGAGGAGAGGGGAGAGGGAAAAGGGAAGAGGGGAGAGGGGAGAGGGGGGAGGTAAAGGGGGGAGGGAAAAAGGGAGAAGGAGATGGGGTTAAGTTGTGAGGCGAGTCAGAAGTGGTTCCCTCTCCCAATGCACGGTTCGCCAGCACGTGATACACTCCGTTGCTCACCTTGCATGGCAGGAGGGGGAGAGGGAGAGGAGGGGGGAACAGGGGAGAGAGGAAGGAGGGTGGAGGAGGAAAGGGAGGCCGTGACGCGTTGAAAGGGAACGAGGGGCGGGAGGGAGTGGAGAGAGGGGAGGGAGGTGAGAGAGGGGAGGGAGGTGAGATAAGGGAGAGGGGGAGGGGAAGGATGGGCGGGAGGGCGTGGCGCTGCAGAAGCACTAGGTTGGGCTCTAATAACGCGTGGTGTATGCTGTTACGCATCTGGTCGCGGGGCGAGGGGGAAAACGGAGGGGAAGGAAGCAGGAAAAGAAGGCAGACAGAAGGCGGGTGGAGGGGTCGAGGAGCAGGACCAGTTTTGCGAATTGAAGGCACAGCAATCGACCGGCACTGTCATGGCATCAATTCGCCATTCGCCTTTCAATTGCTTGTTCTTCGCCAATTTGCCGTTTCGTTTTGCACGCTTACCATAACCACCGCCAGTGCCACGTGGACGCTCCAGAGAGGCCAGTCCCGCTGCGGTGACGTGGACGCCGCCTTGGCTCCGCCCGCCGCATTCGGATGGCCCTTCAGCATCGTCAGCCGCTGTCAGCTGTGCTGTCCACGTGTCGTCCGCCGAGCCTATTCACCGCTGCCAGCTGTGCTGGTCGCCGCGATTCGACTCCGCGATTCGCCGCGACCCGGTAGCCTGCTAACTAGTCTGGCGACGCTGAAGAATAAACAGACTGACTTCGCGGCGCGCTAGTAACGAGCCGGCCAAATTCATCCAGTAAGGAGGATGGATGGTAGAGTTACGTAGTACGGGGCACGGTGTGCCGAAAAGTAGCGAGTTTCGAGCACGCTCGTCAGCAGCACTCGTCCATATCCAAGCTGATCACTCCAGGGTGCTTGGATGATGAGGATTCGTCTCGCCTCGCCTCATGCACGCTGAGCCTGGCCCGAATCTGGATGCCATTCTATCATCCACCCACCGTGGGTGCAGCTGGCATTCTTGTGATGCGCAGCCTTGGAATCGCAGTACAAGTCGTTCGTGTTACGGTGTACTTAGCAGGCAGGGTGTTCTATCAGATTCTTAAATACCTTATTGTGGGATATTGACAAATCCAACATCTCATCTTAGCTTCCAGTTTCTCAACCTTCCGGTTACCATGCTGCAATCACGTAATTCTATCCACCTGTAATATATTCCCAGGGTACGTTCCTGGCTCGTGTCAAGCTTCCGGTCACCCACTTCGGGTCTTCCGGCCAGAAATTGCCCCTGTTTCCAGAAGACATAAAGTTCGACAGGAAATCTAACCCAAAGCTTCGGGTCTTCCCGGGAAGGAACGAAGCTTGACACGAGCCAGGAACGTACCTTCACTTTCCTTAACGGGTTTTACTTCTTTGCGTACAACCCCAACTCTTGGCAATACACGTTCGGCCGATTTCATTGACATCGATGATGCCTCGCCTCGGCTTTTCCTACCTAACCGATATCCAACCTCGCTCGAGGTTTCCACCTAGCTACGCCTAGTTTAGGTCGCTACATTATCTCGTGTCATTCATCAATGAACCAAATTGTCATGGCTTCGTTATTCGTCATTCTGCGCACTCTGTTGAACACATCATCACACCACCCTCCAAACGCCTTCCTATTTCCAACCTAACATACCATAACACTATATATTCGAACATATATACGATTTACGTGACATATGTGAGTCTTGCCAAAATATATGTTTATGGTTAGGGTTAAAGGCATAGGATTTTAGGTGGACCTCGGGTCCAAACAGATACTGCAATTCTTCGTTAAGTTGCATTTTCTTTATAACTTAAAACATAGTTAGAATCGTGTCAAAGAGAGAACTCAACTGGATAACTTGAACGAGGGCATACAACGAATGCAAGCACCAAAATTATGCCATTTGAAGCATAGCCCAAGCTAGTATCCGATACATGCCATACATATACAAATTGAAACACCCTCATATGCTATGTAAGGGATAGTTACAAAAAAGAAACAACTCATAGCGGCACTAAAACTGCAGCATTTGAGATAAAAGGGCGACGATGTTAGTCAATATGTATAACAAGCAAAATCAACACAAATACAGATATCATGAACCTAGCAAGTGACGAACTGCTAAGCTATGTGCAGAATTACTGATGATATAAAGCTAGAGTGCCTTGGTGAAGATACCAACGGTGTTTGTCAGAAGACTAAGCAAGAATGTGTGCATTGAGAATGGATCTGGGTACAAGTACTAACCCTAATTTGGGTTGTACCCCATATTGGCTACCCCACTACAGCCTACACAATATAAATATTATAATGTTTTGACACACCCCCATGGGCAAAGTGGGGGAGAAAAAGTGGTCACAAGACCAGCCAAGAAAAGCAAAGCAAGCTCAGGGTGGATCACGAAGTCACCACACATTTTGAGCACAAACAAATGGCCACAAGACTAGTTCACATGCAGAGTTACATAAACGAGAGCAATCAGTACAGTGATCATAACCTAGCAAGAGTAAGCATGCAAGTGTATATATAGATCGCGTTACAAGCAAAGTATGTTAGAATCTAGCAGCAGGAATGGGATGAACTAGCAGCATGCAGGATACAAGTAGTAAACCCTAATTGGGTTGTACCCCATATGGGCTACCCCACTACAGCCTAGACAATATGCTGCATATATGTTTGACACACCCCCATAGGCAAAGTGGGGGAGAACAAGGGGTCACACGACCAGTCAAGAGAAGCAAAACAAGCTCAGGGTGGATCACAACGTCACCACACACTCTGAGCACAAGCAAAGGGCCACAAGGCCAGTTCACATGCAGAGACATATATGTAGCAATAACAGTACAGTGATGACTACCTAGCAGGAGCAGGCATGCAGGTATATATATAGATCACCGTACAAGCAAAGACTACAGCAAGTGTGGAAACGTAGGCACAAGGCCTAACAGGGTACAAAAGCGCTGATGATCACCAGACGGAAGTGCCTTGGTGAATATATCAGCAGTGTTGGCCCGAGTGGCCACGTGACGAAGACGAAGCTGACCTCGCTGCTGCAACTCTCGAGCCAGAAAGTAACGCAGAGCGATATGCTTCGTTCTGTGCTCCAGTCTGTGCTCCTCACACAAGGCAATGGCCGCCTTGTTGTCAACGTACAGAACTGGAGGAGAACGAGGCCGCTCACCCAAGTCAGTCAGCAGGTAGGTGAGCCAGCGTAGCTCCTGTGCAGCCATGGCGGTGGCGTAGATCTCAGCCTCACAACTGGAGCTGAGAACAGAAGACGAGCGTGTAGACCGCCAAGAAACAGAGCCAGAGCCAAGGCTGAAGGTGTAACCCTGTGACGACCGCTGTGTAGTCTGGTCGTCAACCCAAGACGCGTCTGAGTGCCCAGTGAGGACAACTGGGCTCGTCCCTCCAAGCACTAGCCCCATGCCTGATGTGCTGCACAAGTAGCGCAGTACCCTCTTAGCAGCAGCCATGTGCTCAGGTCGGTGCCGACCAGGAGCCACGTAGCGAGCCAGAAGACCAAGAGGGTACGCGAGGTCAGGTCGAGTGCAAGTCATCAGGTACATGAGGCAGCCAACTAGCTCTGGGTAAGGACCACTCGGCTCTACGGACTCGTCCGAAGGTGGAGCTGAGAGCGAGTGACCTGTAGCCAGAGGAGTGGCCTGTGCTGAAGACCAGGTGAAGCCGAAGCGCTGAAGGACCTGCTGCACCATGTGTGACTGAGTCAGGGTGATGGTGCGGCGTGCTCTGTCCCGGGTGATCTGCAAGCCAAGGTAGCTGCGCAGCTCACCCAAGCCTGTGCACGTGTGTCTCTTCTGCAGCTCCAACTTCACGTGGGCGAGAGCCTCAGTGTCAGTAGTGGCAAAAACCAAGTCGTCGACGTACACGAGGATGTAGAACGGCGGCAGTGAAGTGTCGGTGCGCAAAAACAGCGACGGGTCAGCAGTAGAAGGCGCGAACCCAAGAGCCGCAAGCGTAGTCCTCAGTGTGTCGTGCCACTCACGTGGCGCCAGGCGGAGACCGTAGACTGGCCGCCGAAGGCTCCACTGGGTACCAGGAGGGAACGACCCAGTGAAGCCCGGGGGGCGGCGCAGCCAGATCTCCTCGTGCAGGCTGCCCTGCAAGAAAGTTGTGCTGAAGTCAAGAGAGTGAAGCTCGTAGTCACGGTGAGCGGCAACGTGCAGCAGCACCCGAAGAGTGGTAATCTTCGGGGTGGGGGAGAAGGTCTGGAAGAAGTCTACTCCCTCTCGCTGACTGAAGCCTCGGGCAACGTAACGAGCCTTGAAGACAGGCGGAGAACCTGGCGGCCGCTTCACCCGGAAAATCCACATGCCACTGACGATGTTCGCCCCAGGAGGGGGAACCTCGTCGACGTAAGTGCCAGTGGACTTCCAGGATGCCATCTCTGCGTCCATGGCTGTCTGCCAGTGAGAGGAGTACTCACCCGCGATCGCCTCAGCGTAAGAGCGCGGGGTCGGGATGTCTGGGGCATCCGGGTCTCCCTCAGGTGCAATCAGCATGGACACGAGATGAGGTACAGCAGCCGCAAAGCACTCGAACTCCTCCTGCCTGTCCTCAAGGACGTCCGTGCCAAGAGCACACTCACCCCCGACGGACGGAGGACAGACAGACTCAGACTCAGCAACAAGACTAGCGGCGTATTCTAGACGACAGGCAGCAGCAAAGTCAACAAGCTCAGCAACCAAGGCAGACGCAGCAGTAGACTCAAACGACGGGTCAGTGATAACAGTGGCTAACAGACGCGTGAAAGTAGGGTGCTCAGCACGAAACCGGTCAGACTCAGGGTCCGGAACGTCAGGCAGAGAGGACGCAGGAGGAGACGGCAGAGGAACAGACTGCGGAGCAGAGGAAGGACGACGGACTACGAGGTGTGCGCTGGGGACAGCCGGCTGACGCGAACGAGGAACACGACGACCGGTACGACCAGGACGAACAGGCGAGACAGGACGCGACGCAGGCTCACGACGCTCAGCAGGACTACCTGTCTGCTCAGTGTAAGGAGAAGGAGCAGGCAGCGGTGAGCCAGGCTGTAACGGAAGACCAGTAGACGACGGGAGAGTAAGAACCTGACGAAGAACAGAGTCAGGCGGCGGCAGAGACGACGGAGATGGCGGAGCGAAGAACAGTCGTGTCGGCGCAGCTGCACCAGTACCGGCAGCTCCAGCAGCTCCAGCACCTCCAGCAGCTCCAGAAGCTCCAGCCCCAAAACCGACACCTCCAGCCCCAGGGTCTCCAACCTCAGTGTCTCCAGCAGCAGCACCTCCAGAACCAGCACCTCCAGCCCCAGCAGCTCTAGTACCTCCAGTACGAGCACCTCCGGGACCAGCGACTCCAGCACCTCCAGTAGACAAAGTACCAGCACCACTCCTAGCTCCAGGGACGTCAGCAGAAGTACCTCCAGCAGCAGAGCCCCGGGCTCCAGCAGCGCGACCCTGACGGCGACCGTACCAGTCGTGCAGCTGCTGTGAGGTGAGAGGCACACGTGGACGAAGGCGGCTACTCCAAGGAGACCGCGCAACAGCAGACTCAGAACCCTCAGCGCCAGCACCCC